GTTGACCAAAGGGTTGACCAGGCATTGACTAGAGGGTTGACCGGGCGTTGACCAGAGGGTTGACCGGGCGTTGACCAAAGGGTTGACCAGGCATTGACCAGAGGGTTGACCGGGCGTTGACCAGAGGGTTGACCGGGCATTGACCAAAGCGTTGACCAAGGCCTTGACCGGAGCTGTTGACCATGACTTTGACCAAGCTGGAGTTGGTATAATCTCCGCAAGCCCTTAGCCTATCCCCTCGCCCTATGGATATGCACTCACCTTATGGTACTTGCTGAGTCTGAGTCTGTCTGTCTCTTCTTTCTGCATTGAGTCTTTTTTGTCCAGATGATAGGACTCCGTGTATGAAGGATAGGGCCTTGTTGACCAAACCCCTGCCGGGCTGAGTAGAGCTAAAGACTGTGTCTGACGACTCGACTGTCCCGGAGGACACGAACCCTCCCGAGGACCGGTACTGACCGGCGGGCTGCTCGGTGTGGCACGGTAGGCCCGAAATCTGAGTTGTGGGCTGCACAACGGGCCGTCTAAGTCTTGAGAGAACCTGCTGACCGCGTCGTCCTATTTGCGACGTTAAAGAATTCCTGAGGAGTTATGGGGGATCTCCTTAAATGCCTCCTCGTCAGCAACAGGTTTTGTAGTGACGACTGTAGTATTAGAGTCTAGGCTAGAGATCATAGTTGACAGGGCTCTCTACGAACCCTATGGTCCATAGACCGAGTTAGTAGGTCTTGTCAGTTAGGAGGAGAGTCTACGTGGTGAGGAGCATAAATGTCACTTGGTTGTGCACTTTTCACCATGGTTGACACGCGTAGTGGCCGGAGCACCTCCCCCTACACCGCCGAAAAGGAGGTGAAAGTCGTCACCCTCCTGAAGGAGAGAAGAGAGAAGAAGGAGGCCAAGAAGAAGGCCCTGATGGAGGAACAGGCAGCGAAGATCAGGAAGATTGAAGAAGAGATGGCCAGAGAGAAGGAGAGACTAAAGAGAGAAGAAGAAGCGAGGCTTAAGGCGGTAGAAGAGGAGGAAGAGGAGGAAGAACAACCACTGGAAAGGCGTAAGGCGGGAGGAAGAGGTGAGTCCAGTGGCACAAAAGAGGATCTAATGGAGAAGAAGATTACAAAGTGGGTTGCTGGATTATCCCTGGGAGAAGATGAGGAGGCCTTGACGTATGTGTCCAGGGAGGAACAGGAGGCAGCCGTGAAAGAGTGGGATGCTGAAGAAGATCCACTCAAGCGGCAGGTTTTGGAAGATGAGAAAAGGATGGAATGAAAGTTCCGTTTGACAAAGGAAAAGAAAAGAAGGATGGAGGCGGCGAGCCAGGCGGCAAGAAAATTGGAGGAGATAAAGAAGTAGAGCGACCAAATGACGACGCACGTGGATTTACTGGGAAAGATGAAAATTATGGCGAGGAACATAGAGCGCCTGGCACAAGTCCAGGAAGAACAATTTTTATTTGGTAGAAGTCAGGACATTGTCATGCGCTCTATCCGATTGGGGCTCAGGGACTTTGCACGGGAATTGGCGACACAGGTGGGCTCAGACTCGGAAGTGAGGGCCCGCCTAGAAGGCACAGAGCAATATTGCACAGGCGCCATAGAGGGCACCAGACTGACCGCTCCCAAAGGTGAGGAAGCACGTCCCCGTAGCCCGTAGGGAGCGTGTCAAAGTCAAATTTCTCGATTCCTACAGCGGGAAGAAGGAAAAAAATTGTGACAATTGGGAAGTGAACGTCAAAACGTACGTGCACTTACAGAAAGTTTCCCCAGATGAGCAGGTCTTAATAGCCATCCACGCTCTGCAGGAGGAGGTCGCCAGTTTTGCCCGTTCTCTGGTCTGCGCCGCTAATTGTAGTGATGACGTAGTTGTTTATTATGCCGTCACCCCCCTTGTTGACTTCATTAAATTATTGCGCGAACGATTTGCATACGTTTCACGCAGTGTCAAAGCCTCCGATAGGTTACAGACTATCCATTCTCGTCAGTGGAAGAGTGCCAAGACACTCAAAGGTGTGATAAATGAGTTGGTAGCTGTTCCAGACCATGGGGTCACAGAGACCCGATTGGTCAACCTCTTCTATCGGGCTATGCCTGAACAGCTGTGCGGACACTTTTTTTAGAAGAGCCAGCAGCCCACCATGACCTATGACGCATTGAGCAGGGAAGTGGTGGCATTTGAAGCGAGGTCCATGTCAGTTTCCACTTTCTGGCACAAGAATCTGGACAAGGGGAAAAAGTGGAAGGGTCGCACTATCTCAGGATAGGTTAAGACCACGGATCGCTTGATCCTTACATTAGATGAGGGTAGTGTCGATGAAGTCCCTTACGAACAGATTGAGTGGGGGCTGGAGAAGGAGGACAGTAGTGTGAGCTAGGGGAGGACTTACGCTGCTGTCGCAGCTGGAGGGAGGCCGCGAGGAGGAGGTAGAGGCCAGGGCCAAGGGGGCCGGGCCTCAAGTGGTCGTACCCAAGGTGTTCAAGGGGTTGGCGGCAGAGGAAATCGCCAAGAGGGAGGCAGGGGTCAAGGTCCCCCGCAAAACCGTTCAGGGAATCGATCACCCAATAGGGGAAACAGATCACCCTATAGGAGAGGAGGATGGCGCACTGGGCTGCCTCAGGGAAGGCCCTGGGAAGACTTGGGCCTGGACCAATGCGTATGGCAACAACCTGTGGACCAGGGGCAGTGCATCTATTGCGGTGACCCTGGCCACATTATTAAATTTTGTCCAAAGTATAGGGAGGTCCGATCGGTTGCTCAGGGGTCAAAAGGCAGCCACCGGTAGGGGTAGCAACTGCCCCTACCATAAGGCCATGTGGGGAAAGAGCGCGAGCCGGCAGGAAACTCCCACACCACATGTGCCTATGGCAGAAGTTGCAGGCCAGTGCCTAAATAGCTGTCTAGAGACTGATTGTGTCAGAGTCTCTTTAGGCACTTCCCTCACAGGCGTGGCCGATGAGTTGAAGGAGAGAATGCCCGCCTGGGCCAAGATGAAGAAGAAGAGTAGAGGACAACTAGTCTTGGTAGATGTAGAGATTTTTAGAGGCAGAGTAGGGGCCCTCGTGGACAGTGGGGCCACTCGCAGCTATATTAGTAGAAAGGTGCTGCAAAAGTTGAAGCTGGGATTAAAAGTCCAAAAGCTAGCAGACCCCGTAGTAAGTATCCTCGTAGATAATCGCACGATGCGAGTAGAGGATTACATAGAGGGAGTTCAGGCATACTTCCGCATAAAGAAAGATGGGAAGGTGGAGAGAGTTCTCCATTCTCTGACTCTCCTCGTAGAAGACAACCCTTCCTTTCGACATAGTCCTAGATATGGACTGGGGAGAGGCAGCAGGGGCCACACTCCATTTGAGAGAGCACGAGTGTAGGCTCCCTAATCCATCAGGCGGAATCAAGACTGCCCGTCTGTTTCATGTGTCCGGAGTAGACAACTCCTTGGCCCACTGCTGTCTCAGCGCTCCTGCGTTCGCAAGGTTAGTAAAGAAGGAGCAGTTAGAGGAACAGGTTTTCGTAGCCTATGTTAGGCTAGTGACTGAGCCCAAAGAGGAGAAGCCTATAGACCCTGCCATTGCCAAGCTGCTGAAAGAGTTCACAGACTTAGCAAATCCGCCAACAGGAGTAGTACCGCGGCCTATCCAGCATCGCATTGAGATAGAGTCTGGCAGTAGAACTCCCAAGGGAGCAGTGTATAGAATGTCTCCACGAGAGTTGGAGGAGTTGCACAAGCAGTTAGACGAGCTCCTAGAGAAGGGTTGGATTAGGCCCAGTTCCTCTCCCTTTAAAGCACCTGTTCTATTTGTCCCCAAGAAGGAGGGAGAGCTTAGGATGTGCATAGACTATAGGGGTCTGAACGCAATCACCATGAAGAATGCTGAGCCACTGCCCAGGATAGCCGATTTCTAAGATCGGGTGCAGGGGTGCAGATATTTCTCGAAGATAGACTTGAAGTCCAAATATCATCAAATATAGGTCCACCCTGATGATCAGTACAAGACAACTTTCCGGACTAGATATTGGCATTATGAGTTTATAGTGATGCCCTTTGGACTAACCAATGCGCCAACGACTTTTCAGCGTTATATGAACGACTTGTTCAGGCCATGGTTAGATAGGTTTGTAGTAGTCTACCTAGACGATACTCTAGTATTCAGTAAAACTCTCCAAGAGCATCAGGGTCATCTGAGGCAGGTCTTGGAGAAGCTAAGAGAAGCTAACTTCAAGATCAATGAGAAGAAGTGCGAGTGGGCGAAGACCCAAGTATTGTATCTAGGCCATGTCTTAGACGGAGACGGCATCAAACGCGAAGACAGCAAGATCGCAGTGATTAGAGATTGACCTACACCCCGCACGTTGACAGAATTGCAATCGTTCCTAGGCCTAGCCAACTACTATAGGAAGTTCGTGAGGAACTTCTCCACCATCGCTGCACCCCTTCGCAGGTTGTTGAAGAAAGACGCGACCTGGAAGTGGAACAAGGACTGCACATCTGCCATGAAGAAGTTAAAGCAGGCATTGATAGAGTATCCGGTCCTTAAGGTAGTCGATCCGTCCTTACCTTCCGTCATCACTACTGACGCGAGCCAGTATGGTATAGGTGTTGTGTTACAGCAAGACGATGGCCATGGATATAGGCCCGTAGAGTTCATGTATGCTAGGATGCCTTCAGAAAAGGTAGCGACATCTACCTATGAGAGGGAACTCAACGCTCTCAAGCAAGCTTTAGAACACTGGAAGCACTACTTGCTTGGGAGGCACTTCAAAGTCCACTCAGACCATGAGATGCTAAGGTGGTTGAAGACGCAGGCCAAGATGACACCTAAGTTGACTAGGTGGGCCGCAGAGTTAGACCAATATGATTTCGAGCTCAAGCTAGTCAAAGGGAAGTATAACGTAGTTGCGGATGCTCTGAGTAGGAGAGCCGACTACTTCGGGGCAATAGTTCACTATCTGGATATAGGGAGAGACCTGCAGCGAAATGTTAGAGACTCGTATGCGCAGGACCCTATCTATAGAGACCTTCTCAAGAGGGTCAAGGAAACCCCGGAGGCCGAACCAGATTAGCGCACTACTGACGGATTACTATTTGAGAAGACTAACGTAGTGGACAGATTGTCCGTCCCCAATAGTGAAGAGATCCGTAGTTTGATCCTAGGGGAATGTCACGATACAGAGGGGCACTTTGGTTGGCAAAAAACTCTAGCCAACCTAATGCACGCGTACACCTGGCCAGGGATGAAGAATGACTGCATAGAGTATGTTCGCAGTTGCAAAGTTTGCCAGAGGAATAAGACTACTGTGTATGCCCCGCTAGGTCTTCTTAGACCCTTGCCTATTCCTGACCAGCCAGGAGATTCAGTATCCATTGACTTTATGGATGTTGGCGTCAAGAGTAGGCACGGTAAGAGCCAAGTCATGGTCGTAGTTGATAGATTTAGCAAATATGTTGTTTTTATTCCTTTGCCTTCTGAGGCACGTACAGAGTTAGTAATTCAAAAGTTTTTTGATCATTGGGTCAGTGAGCACGGGGTCCCATTGTCCATAGTTAGTGATAGAGACACTCGGTTCACTAGTCAGAACTGGCAGGAGTTGATGAGAGTCTATGACTCCAAGTTGTTAATGTCATCTGGGCGTCATCCAGAGACCAACGGTCAGACTGAACATATGAATAAGATCCAGCAACAAGTTTTGTGTATACATTAGACCTGATCAAATCAACTGGGATGAGATGCTTCCAAAGGTAGCCAGCGCCTACAACAACAGTGTGCACTTGTCTATCTGTCGCACTCCCAACGAGTTACATAAGTCTTTCAGACCGCGTAGACCATTTGAAGGACTTAACCGGGGTCAGATACAGAGGCTACCGCCCGGTACTAGGGAGTTTGCGCTACAGCACGAGAAAGAGTTAGCTACCGTGATAGAGAACCTCAGGAAGGCCCAACACCGAATGATAGAGCAAGCTAATAAACATCTTCGCCCATCACTGTTTCAAGTCGGCGACTTAGTCTGGGTCAAGTCTAAAGAGTTTGCTCCTGAGGAAAATATCTCGCAGAAGTTACTGCCCGCGTATAGAGGACCGTGGCCAGTTCTAGAAGTCAAGGGCGGAGAGGATGGGCCGTCCTACACCATAGAGATCCCAGAGCACCTCCACACCTACCCGATTTTCCATGCATCCAAGTTGTTGTCGTGCACAACGAGTGATCAGTTCCCATCGAGGAGGTCCATGATCCCTCCGGATATGGATAGCACGTACGACATTGACGGCATCGTAGGCAAAGATGTTTTCAGAACAGGGGGTAGAGGGCATCCACAAAAACAATATAAGGTCCGATTTGCTTATCAGGAACCAGAGGACGACCGCTGGTT